TTTGACGGTTGTAAGGTTGGTAAGAATATTAGGGGCCTTGGCAGATTCTAATTCCGTCCAGGCTGCTGTGGACGCTTCCTCAACCCCATGAACCATAGTACAGTATATATTGCATTGTAACTCCCACTAGTGGAAGAGGCGGCGGAATTATTGAAGATGGTGGAAAAATCTATTATACATGACGATTACGACTATGAAGACAGTTTCTGAATTTATTCGTCGACACTTCAGCAACTGCATAGGTAAGTTAGCGTCAAGTGCGCGGGGGATGTGGAAGGAACTGGTCATTATACAGAGTGGGCCAGACTCAATTAGGCAGTTTTTGATCACTGATAACTAACCAATCCAACAACACACGGGATAATGATAAAGTACCTTTTGTTGTCGATAGATGGCAGCATCATACGGTACTCTGTGAACGCCGTCAATACTCTGCCTACTTAGTGCGCATCGAGGAAACGTCATGGCCGGTAGACGGTTGTCTATCGAGAAGCGTGTAAAATGTGTGCGCCTTTTCTCAGTTACTAACAATGTATCAGAAGTCCAGCGCAAGATGTTGGAAGAGTTTGGAACGCCAGCAGTCCACAGGGACACAATCGTCCGAATAAACAAGCAGTTTGATGAAACTGCCAGTGCTTTGAATCCCAATCATCCTGGTCAGCCGAGAACTGTCCGAACTGCTGACACACAAGCACGTGTTGCTGCGGAACTGGCATCATCTCAGAGGAGAAAGAACTTTGATGAACTGTGGTGGCAGCAATATGGGGCCCCACCACACTTCGCCAATATCGTTCGGACGTTCTTGCATCAAGTTTTTCCTCAACTCTGGTTTGGCCGTCGAGGGCCTGTGGAGTGGCCAGCCCGATCACCCGACATCACCCCACCTGACCTTTTCCTTTGGGGTTACCTCAAAGACAAGGTGTACGCTAATCCCATTGACAGTGTAAAACATATGTGTGAGGTGATTGTTCAGGAGTTCAATAAAGTTCCGGTGAATATGTGTAGAAAGGCGTGTGAAAATGTCGCTTTGCGTCTGCAAGCCTGTGTTGACTTAGGTGGTGCCCAGGTTAACCAGCATCTTGAAAATCGATGACTTGTGTGTGTGCGATTCCATTTTTGTAACCATTGCGATTGTTAACATTTATCAATAAAAATAACATCTAATCAAAAACTGCCTAATTGTGTCTGGCCCACTCTGTATAATTAATTCAGTATCCAAAAATTTACCTGGAGGGACTGATGCAAATATCGCTATTTATGTTACATATTTCCATTTGCATTCGCGATATACGAGTGTTCTAGACATGTTGTCTGCGACACTCGGCTCGGAGCCTAAATATTCTGATGTAGGCTTAATGTGATTTTCTTCAGTATTTCCAGATTATGACACTGTCTTTTAATTCTTTTTGATTAGCAATTATCTTGCTATAACGATGTTACCCGCGCAGCTATCTAGAAACTGCGAAGCAAAATTAAGGGGAAGGGGGGAAGCGGAAAACCAAGTCTCATTAAGAAGGAAGATGAAAGAGATCCTAAGTCACTGCATGAAGCAGGGAGATCATAATTCGCTCTTTCGGGTAGATAAGGGTAAATGAACGGTAGAAACGTAAATCCAATCGTTATTACGTTATTGACGATGTCACAACTTACGTCTTATTCCAAAAATAATAATATTCAAAATGTATGAAGTGTGTGCTCAGTCTCTATACAGATTTCTACGTCATGTATGAGTAATGCTGTACTTTTACTCTGTGGAATTGCGACACAAGCGCTTTGTATTCGGTTTTAGCTTGACAGTGGCATTCTTTTCCTGTGATTAATATTCTGTTTCTTGGTCTTCTACGGAATAGTTTGCCCTAAATAGATCAGTCAATCTGTAAGGCTGACGTAGCTCTTTCCCAGATATCCTGGAGAGGAACTAAATCGTCTACTCTAAAGTCAGCACAACTACTAGCACAAAAGCTTGCTGACTTTTCAACGGGAATTTTTAAAGAAAGAACCTCGACAAAAATTCATAACTTCAATGAAGTAAGTTTTAGAAAGACAGCTGCATGTACGAAGGTACCAACCATGGCAAAGTAAGAATGGGCAAAAGCAGTGCTGCCATCCAGACGAATTTCTTTCGGCGAAGTTTACCTATGTAAAAAATTCATCATTGTACATAATCTCTCTTTTTCTTCAACTGACAGACTCATGATTGCCATTAAATTCACCACCATCCAGCAGAGATAAGTATCTTTCAGTCTCGGCTTGACCGACTGTAACAGAATGATTTGGACCCCAAATACAAAATGAACAGTGACTACTTCATAAATTTCACTAGTAATTATTATTTCGACATTGCGACCGAACATTTCGTTTTACCCTTGTACGTTTGTAATTTCCCCTATGTTAATATTCAGCTGCATATTATCCTAAATTATCTCAAATGCAACAGATGAGTGGGATCTTCCACCTCAACAGCCGCCATCTCAGCTACAGTTTTCACAGATTGTCCTTCTATTGGCTAACTCTTGTATATTAAATCATGACATTTGTTTTCTGTAATGGTCGAGATTTCATTGCCGCCTGAAGAGTAGGTAGGACTCCTTGGGCGGGTGATCAGCTCGTCGCAAGGCCTCTACCTGTACACAAACTAAACATCCATGCCCTGAGTGGGATTCGAACCCACAATCCCGGTTTCCAAGCGAGCGAAGACAGTACATCCTTTAGACCGCTCGGCTACCGTGACCGGCCCTTAATTCTTATCTTTTCATTATTTGTTATTATCTTCTTGATAAATTCAAGTCGGTATAAAAGTAGCAACTTAGACTGGAATTCAGGTGGAAAGTTAGATCCATGCTAGAGAAGTCTAAGTCTTCCTGACCTAACACGACCACGAAGGAACTGAAAGCCGTGAAATCTTTGAGACTTAACAAGGAAATTAGGATTCTTCGAGCAGACAAAAAGCAACTGCACAGTGGTTTTGGACGAATCCGAATACAAGGATAAGTTAAGCACTTGCTAGAGTCCGGGGTTTACAAAACCTTGCCCAAAGACCCTACAGCTAAGGTGGAGAGGAAAGTACAGAAACTCCTTTCTAAATATAAAACCACTCTTCCGACCGATCTTAAACACAGGCTGACTCCATACCACAGCAAACCTCCACATCTGTATGGTCTGCCCAAGATTCACAAAGCGGGTATTCCTCTGAGGCCTATAGTAAGTTCGATTGGTTCTCCTTGCTATGCACTTGCCGGCTTTCTCCATGAGATACTAAGTCCTTTTGCTGGTAAATCCGACTCTTTCGTTAAGAATTCGGCCCACTTCTTTCAGTTATTAAAGACTGTTAACCTTCATTCTCAAGATACTCTCGTTAGCTTTGACGTTTTCAGTCTCTTCACTAATGTACCAGTCGACGAGGNCATCGTTGTGGCTGCGATACGTGGATGACACTTTTGTAGTCTGGCCTCATGGTCCAGAGAGATTACAGACTTTCTTCGACCACCTCAACAGTTTAAGGCCTTCCATCTGCTTCACCATGGAAACTGAGTCAAACAATGCGATCTCATTTCTGGACGTTCTGGTCATCAGGGGAAAGACGGCACTAGCCACACAGGTCTACAGGAAACCCACCCACACTGGCCAATACCTCAACTTCAATTCTAACCATCCGCCGCATGTAAAAAGAGGCTTGATAAAAAGTCTCCACGACAGAGCCTCTACCATATGCCAAGATCGACGAGATTTGGTCAGAGAAATTAACAACCTGAGACACGATCTTCAGTTGAACGGTTATCCCAAAGGTTTTATTGACTCGGTCATTAATTCCAAGGGCAGTAGTCGTCCGAAGAAAGAGGAAAGCCCTCTGTGTTCTGTTTATATTCCATATGTGAAGGGTGTGTCTGAAAAGTTTAAACGGATAGGTAATCGATATAATATTAGGACCTTCTTCCATACGAAACACACACTTAGGAACTCCCTTATGAAAACCAGACCGAAAAGAGATCCGCAACAGACGGCACAGTGCGTCTATAGCATTCCCTGTGAATGTGGCAGAAGCTACATTGGCGAAACAGGCAGACCTCTGGCCGTGCGGCTCCGGGAACATAGGCATAACCTAAAAGAAGGTCTTCTAGAAAAATCTAAACTAGCTCAACATGCCTATGAAGAGGGACATAGGGTAGGCTGGGATGAAGCTAAGATTTTGGATATTGAAAGCCACATCAGGTATAGGAAATACAAGGAAGCGGCCCATATAGCATGCTCGGCCAAACCAATTAGCCAACCCAGTTTGGACTTTTCTCCCATTTGGATCCCCATTATCAGCAATGAAGTCACCAATTCACATAGAAGATCTGTATGACGTGATATATGCTTTTATTCATTTCTATTAAGTTCTAAATTAGATAGACGTGATTTTCTCCATTGTTGACGCTAGTTAGACACTATTAGTTTTTTGTTACTAGTTCTTCTTTCTATTCCATTCCGTGGGGTCATAGACTTGATTATGAGTTTGGTCTCGTTGCATAAATTTCTACAGAGCTATCTATCCTAGTTCACGCTTGTATGTGTTTGCAACAATTTGTTATGAATATTTTTCTTATTAGCTCTCATGGACTTAGCCTGGTCTCAGGTGCTTATAATCTTCATGTTTTGTGACATCGGTTTGTCCAGTGATTGAGGCTAGCTCTTTCTAACGGACCCAACAGAATAGGTGTTTTCCTTCACCTGAGGACGGAAACAGATCCAGTTTCCGAAACGTCGTGTTTTTATTAGTTATCTTAAAAACCAGGACGATGGATAAAGTCCAAAAACCCAATATATCAGTGAACTGAGACTTCGTTACTAATTAATTTTAAATCAATGACTTGTCACGTGAAAAAGTATAGTTTGTTGCCCTGGTTCTGTCTGTGGCTTCAAGAGAGCTGCAAAAAATCTGATCTGGGTACACAAGTGTCGCCACTAGCGGAGAGAACAAGAATGAGTTCTCGTGTGTTTGTGTGATCGCATAGACTAATAATAGAGTCCGGGGACGTGTGCAAGATGCGAGGCGACTAAGACGCTTTCTCTTGAGTCAAAGACGCCAGTTGCTGCCATCGAACGACGCGAGGAGTCCACTACTATAGCCGGAACTTTGTAACTAGCTACAAGAAGCTTCAAAATGGTTTACGAGTCTGACTTCTATACCACCCGCCGCCCGTACAGCCGCCCCACCGTCACCTCGTACTCTGTCACGGTAAGAAGCAGTGCGCGTACAGGAATGCGGCTTGTATTACAGTATATTGGAGAATCAAAATTAATAGCATCCTTTGTTCTTACAAAAGTACGATTCAGGTATCAGTTGAAAAAGAAAAAGAATCAAGAGTATTCGCAGACTGCCATAGTGTATAGTTCCTGAAGGCTCAGACAGTGTACATTTCAAAACTAAACGCACTACTAATAAATATCTAACATACGACCATACAAATGTCAGGGGTCGAGTTACTGTGACTCATCAGTTACCTCATAGCATGAGAATAGCTCGCACAATCGCCATGTTGTTAATTTAAATTTTTATATAAAAATCTTAATTAAAGTTGCATGTAAATATGAAGCTTCAGACACCGCCCCCAGTAACGCGAGGGTTGCATTCACATCACGAAATCTGCTATGCAAGTTGTGTCTGTCCAGGCCTCTCGAATTGGGAATAACATGAGTTTAGCGACTCTAATGCCATCTAACAGATAGTTCAAAAATTCTGTGTGGTAAGGATCATCGAAAATGTATAATTGTTAGGTAACTTTCTTCTGGAAAGCAAAACGAAAGCACGATGGCTGTTGTCATTTGTCTTTCCGTCTGACAAGAGATAGCTGACGTACCACTGGAGCTGGGGTATGACACCTTGTTCGAAGACTGATTGTGAACATACCTGAACATTTTCTTCGAAATACAATTTAACAATTACAACAAGGCGAAGATGCGAATTATGAGTTTTTATTTGAAAAATTAAAGCTAATAATAATAATAATAATAATAATAATAATAAAACGCATTTACGATTGCAAGCAACATAAATGTACTGACTCGAGTAGGAATCTATTCTGTATCCATCTAAACACGAAACCAGCAGGCTTGTCTTATGAGATAAATGGCGTTAGATTTTTCGTTTATAAACTTATGTTACGTAATTGTAGTTTTAACAACACAGTACGAGTATTTATAGAATGGGAGATCTGTGCAATAGGAAAGTACGCTTTATGGGTTATGCCCGTAACTCCTTGTCTCTTTCTTCACGGATTAGACACTCCAGTCTCTTTAGCCGCAGAACTAATTCGAGAAAATGAAAGATCTTGAGTTCTCTTTAGATCTTCCTGTATGGTTGTTTACACAACCGAAGGGAATCTATCATTCCACCCTAATAAAATAAGATACACGTACAAACGTCATACCATGAGGACTTGTACTGGAGACAGCAGTGCAGTGTAGGCCAAAGAACATACATTCCATCCGCTATGTCACTAGTGACGTCAGTTGTAATTTTTATCCTTACAACTTCATGTATTTGTCCGAAAGCTCTGCAGTAACGTATTTCAGTCTCATTCTAAAGATCCTTGATACAAGTTTGAATCATAGCTGGTCCACAGTTTTCACGTTCGCAGTTAACCTAGGCGACGTTTACCAGCACTGCAGATCAATAAAAAGGTTTGATGTTCCACATTAATCTTTTATAATCAACCTACTATGCAGGTCCATCTTTCCTATAACCTAACAGCAGAAGCATAAAGACCGAGTAAGCCATAATGAATCAGTTATGTTCTGAAGGTTCCCATTTCGAATTTCGGCCTGCTTACCCGTTACTCTGAGCGAGGCTTCTTTAGGTATTTCCCAGTTTCTGCAACCGAATACCGAGATAATATCTTCAAATAGGCCATAATTACCTTTTTCCAAACTCACTTTTCACTCTTCACTGACATTTTTCCATGTTGTGAGCTATACAAACCGTGTAGTCAAAAGAAACAGTGAAATAGCCTACAAGTCTGTAAAAGGATACTTGAACTTAAATGTAGTTAAAATTAAGCAGACATTTTGAATTTATCGCCAATTTATAATGGCGTGAGTGAGGGTAGTGCAGTTTGTGTCAGGCTATAACGCAATTGAAAGAATTATCACGTAGCGTTGTTCGTGTATAAAATTAGAATACTGTTAAACACTACATGCAATATTAAGACAGATTTAAATTTTGAAGAAATAAACTTCCCTTCCGACATAATCGAAACTAATTGAAAACATATTAGCAAAATCGAATTATTCGAAGCTGTTTCACATAAATTAAAAATATTTCGAATGATATGGGAAGAACAATTTTTTCTTTCGAAGAAGTTTCATAGAAATAAAAACCGAAAAAAAATACTGTCGAATTTGTGAAAGTTAAAGAATAGGAACACCCGGAAAATCCAAAGCTGTAAAAATCGACAGTTTTCGAGAACTAAAAGATTTTAAAAATTTTCGAGAAACTTCAAGAGTCTGAACTCTTCAAAATTAAAAATTTGAAAAATAAAGAATTTGGAGAAGTTTGAAGTTTTGAAAATTCTGGACTTTCCAAAATGTCATATTCCTCGAAGACTTTGGATTTTTAAATCCCATTTTTTAAGAAATTATTTCATTTAATTTTTCGAAATTTGAAAATTTTTAGAACTTCGAAGTTTTAAATTTTTAAAACTTGTGATGTCATTTTCGGAAAGTTTCGAAAGTCTTTGGTTGTTTGGAATTAAATTTATTTTCTAAAGTTTTGATTTTTAAATTTCTTTTTGAAAAATATTTCAGATTTGAAATTGGTACGAAATATTTTTGGCCATCTTGAAAATCTTGATTTCTCATAAATTTCAAATATTGCTTAGTTTAGAATATAATCTTCGACATTATTATGATTTTGTATAGTGACCAATATCCCATGATGACTAATGTATTTACAATGTTGCAGTCTGCCCCAAAATGCAATATTGCCACCCTCGCTTTTAGATAGTAAAACGAAATAAGAATCTCTATTACTGTCTGCAGAATCTGTACTTATATTCAGTCCTAACAAAGCTAGGGGAGAGACCGGAGTAAGTTCTGCTGAATCTTCGCTGCTCCTTCTTTAACCAGTGATGCTTCATAATTCATTATGATCCGAATGACAAATATCGAAATCAATTGTTCAGCAAAACGAAAGCACGATGGTTGCCAGTCTGACAGAGATAACTAACGTACCACTGGAGCTAGGGGTCCTATACCTTGTCCGTAGTACAGGATCAAAGAAATTAATCAATTAATCAACTCGAGCTCAGAGTGATTCAGGAAAATTAAAAATGTCTCGGATTATTTACGTTTGCTCGATCTTAAACAAAGACGGTGTAAGTATCTGGACTGGATTCATCTGGGTCAGGAAGATGACAAAACGCGGTATTATGAACATGGTATTAGTCTTTCAGATTACAAAAAAAAAAAAAAGTAACGGATATGTTCTCGACTAGTTGGTGGCCTATTAGTTTCTGAAGAAGGTCGCTGCTCCACGGAGTTAATTATTTTAGGATTATGAAAAATACCGAGGTAACTAGGTCATAAACGTATTCTCCTGGTATTTGTGGACACACTATCCTGAGGGCTTCTGGTGATTTTCTCTGCCCATCCATACAAATTCCATGATAGAAACTTAGACGATGGTTGGTATATATTTTCCAAAATTATTCTACTATATCTCATTACACAGGCATTTTCAATAAACTCACTAGTTGGTACAGCGTCGCAAAAATTGCGAATAAACTACAGTCATCCTATATATCATCTACAGTGCGTACAATCAAGTGCGGCGCGCACTTGATTGTACGCACTGTAGAAGCGTTAACATGCTGAAAGGCAGTAAAATTCTTCCGCTCAGGGCTTGGAAATTATGACGCAACACAAACACCAGTACACTTCTGAATCTCTCGCTTACAGAATTAACTCTGAATGACTGAGCAACACATTATGTACACAAGCAGTGCCAAAAATGTGGCTGATTTCTTCACTTTCCTTGGCCGTGTCTAAGGTCTGGTGCTGTCCAACTCTCGCTCTGCTCTGGGCACCGCGTCATGAAGACTGACAGACGGAATGGAGGTAAAGTTCCACACATTAATAACATGGGACTAGGTAGAAGTGAGAGGTCAGCCTCAAGTTCCTGCCTCTTTACTTCGGAAGAATATCCATGCCCCTACCGCTGCTGCGATACGTCCAGTCCGATCTGACTAGATATACGTACGTGTTTGAAATCACTCAGAAGACGCAGTATGCGATCTTTTTCGAAAATTTTGTGATGTCTTAATAACCCCGGGTGGATCTGAAGAATGAGACTCCTTGAGTGTACTCATTTGGACTGAAATCTGCATCTTCCGTGTGAGGCAGTTTATTAATATTTCGTGTGAATATTAATGTTCAGCATTTAGCATGAAGCAGTACTTTCGATTCTCGAGCTAGATACGTGAAGTCGTGGTTTAGTTCAATCACCAGTCTGTCAATCAAGTGGTGCAGTTGAGAAATTCTTTCTCTTCTTCTTCCCCGTTCCGTAACAAAGATGCGATCATCCCAGTTCTTTCCTGTCCTCTTACCCACGAGGTCTGCGTTACACAGTGGTTCTCGGTATACGACATGGTGGCGTTCTTGCACGTGTTATTGAAATCTGCGGAAGTACTTCCCAAATCATGTCGAGTTATAGGCCTTACTCAAGATACTAAATTACTACCGAGTGCACGAAACTTTTCAGAGCATGCGAATCACGTGTTGTCTAGTGAACGACAGATTCTATGGGGTGGAAGGAAAGGCGTCACAAGTACAGGAAGTGACATGAAGGAAAGCACTCGTCTTTCTTAAGATGCAGTCCTGACAGTGGTCTCGAGAGAGACGTTAAGAATATGATGCTTCGAGAATGGATTTAATGTGAAGAGCCCTGTCTGAGAAATAACGCCGAGCAGTCCGTTGAAAGGCAACCGACGTTGCCGAGGAGTTAAAATATCTAATCAAGACTGTGTAATTGTATGTAAAATAATACATCACTTCCTATGAATGAAACATATCATCCGTCATTATAATGATATAATGATAATACACTAATTCTAGTGTTTCTAAATGGCTGCGCCATATACCGGGGCCCATTGCAGATTTGACAGATGATTTTGTTTGCGAAAGTCTACAAATAACCAAAATGATCCAGTCTGAGATATACGTATCAGTCTTAACAAGCAA